ATGATGTTAATATGCTAAATACTAGATCCTAGAGATCAACATCAGACGTCTCGAATTTATTGCATTGAGAATATTTTATTGGAGAGTAAACACCGCGTAAAAACAACAACAACAACAAAATATGGAAAACTGGACGAGTGGACGAACCGTTTCCGTTAAACATTAATTACCTGTTAAAGAGGACAGTTTTTCGTTTTAGCTTTCGCTTTTCAAACGCSGCGGTGGACGAGAGAGCGGACTCTAAAGTGTCCGGATAAATGGCGCCATATTTTTATAACGGCTCTTGGGATTAGCGGCTGCGTTGCTAGATGTAATGRGTAAAACGACGACGGACGGTACGGTACAGTATACACAAGTTTTGAAATTCGCGCAAAAACACTGTTATCATAAAAAAGCTCGGAAGCTCGGGGGGAGAAAAAAAATAACAAGAACGGAACGACGACAAGTACCGACAAATTTTATAACCTAAATTTAATCGGAAATCGAAGAAATCCGAATAGAGAACGGGCCCGCAGATGAGAGAGAAAAGCGCGCACTCACGGCAAACTCGCACGCACGCACAGAAAAAAGCAAACACACACGCACACACACACACACGCAATGTCGCGTCCTTTTTTTTTATGTATATACATACACGTTAAAATTTACTTGAAATATTTTCCCGGCCACCACTGAATAGCCGCCGCCGCCGCCGCCGCCGCCGCCGCCGATTGACCAACTATCGTAAAACGGTACGCGCTCTGTGTTTAAGTTGGTGCCTACTTGTTCGCGGCGGGTAGCGCCCGAGAGGGATGATAAAATTTCTGTATAGAGATCGGCGTGCATAAAAAATTTTCGACCGGTGGCACGAGCGTGCCGATCGAATTTTAATACTTACTTATCTTGTCCGGGACGCAATTCTGGTAGATAAAAATTTATTCAAAATTCGTGTTGATACGAAACCGACGACAAAATGGAGGACGTGACGGTTGCGGTCGTTGCACATAGGTAGCGCGGGCGAGCGGAATGCTGTTCGCGCCGTCCGCTGTGCCCCCATTGGACGGCTGCTGTCACGTGATCGCTGCATCGATTCCCGGCCCGCCGTCGTTTCGTAACGAACCCGCACACGCACGCACGCACTTCCACACCAACGCAAACGTATCGCGTATATTATATCGGCGTACWCGCTCCCGCGCACCGACGCTCACGCACGCACACGCACACAATGCACATGCGTTACTCCTCCCGCATCGCTTGCCGCCCGCCATTTCGCTTCGCCTTTGTCAATTATTGTCGTGGGGCCCGCGTTTTGTATTTTTATTTTTTACAATGAATCGTTTTTGCGCTCGCAGTGCTCGTACCCAAATGTGTGTTGCTGCAGTTTGCCGTGTAACCATRCTAAACACCATTTATATCATTATTGCCCGTCTGTTGGGCTTAAAAAATATACCGAAACAGATATTAAYAATACACACATTATTACTATCGTTTACCCTTTGCCCAGATTGTACGCGTCGTAATCGACACACACAACATATTGGCGTGTTATTATTTATTACATTTATTCCACACCACTTGTGATTTTCAATAATTAATTTTTATACGTGGACACTTTTTAGTTTACGTTTTGTATTTCTCGTTCTGTCGGCTGCCGCGGACTTCATAGTTTTTACGAATTCCACGACCTTTTAAACCGTTCACGAACACATTTATAATTATACATGACCCGCGAAGGTACTACATTTAGTGCAGAATGTGGCAGCGCCCTCCTCGATGATATAATATTATTATTACACGGCTTCGCTACTTGTTGTCAACAAATTGTTGATTTCTATTTTATTTACCATTTTACCATACCGTCATGATCATGAATCATGATAATTACGGMCATGGCAAAATTGTATACCTGATAATTCATGAACAATTTCCATTTGACTATTATGCAAATTATTATTTTATTCAAAGTTTATTCCAAATTCCCGTGCTTAACACAATAATATTTAATAAAATAACTATTTTATTACCAACTTCAATTAAATTGATTTTTTTGAGAAACCTACCATTAATATAAGTTTTCTGCAATACCAGCGTTCAGAAAGTTCACTAAAAAAATGTTATTGTTTAATGTAATTAATTAACATATTTTCGCCTTGGTTATCCTATTTACTGATTGTACCTATGCACTGTATAGATTGTAGATATAATATTGTTTCTAAACTAAAATAAAAAATATATATTTTGGTACTTTCCTGTTATGGGAGACTACCTTGTTTTTTGACAACATCACAATCCTGTTATACAGGACTACTGCTATTTTAGCGACTACCATCCAAGACTACCTCCGTTATCGTGACTACCACAATTAGCTGAACGATATCCATTTGCTGAATCGTGGAAAAAAAGCCCAAAAAATAAACACAACAAGGAAAAAAAGTATAACCTCTTACTTCTTAGAACACCTCCATGTTATTTTTGATTTGCCAATAAACTTTACAACATAAATATAACCTTTGTGACTTAATTTGTCACCACCTTTATTTGATTTTATAATCTCCATAGTTAAACAAAACTTGTTCAAACAAAGGTATAAAATATAAAACAAATTTATAACAGGATAAAACTGTGCTAGTAGGACGTGTAAGTACTAGGAACTATCTTAATAACCAAGTAATGGAGTTGGAGTACTGTATGGAGTGTTTAATATTACTCAGCTGGTTAATAAATATAAATATTAGTGCTAACTAATATATATATAGTCAAAAGGCTTATCAATAATCGTATAATAAAAATCAAATTTATTGACAGGTGGTCCATAAATGTATCCATTAACCTAGTGTCAAACTCCCTATATAAACTATAAACTTCAAAAAGCTCATATAATAATTTCAATAGAACGAAGAATAACACGATGATAATTATTTTGTTGTAATTCAAATATTTATATTATCTATATACCGGGTGATAATTTTATCTAAAGTTATTCTTTAAAATTCAAATAACAAAATGTTAGTCCACTACTCCGGTTGTCTAAACTTTAAATACTTATAACACATTAACTACTACCTTATTTAAAATATGAAATTAAAACTCTATGTTGTCATTTAAAAAATTATAAGGATAAAATTGCAAAACGGTATATAAGTGTTCATATTTATATTTATAATTCTGTGCTTTTTTTCCCCTTAGTGTGTTTAGTTTTTTGGGCTTTTTATCCGCCTACCCCATTGTAGGCTGCGTTTTAGCGTCGCAAATACATTGCATAAGTATAAAATAATGAGTTTTTTAGTGATATTTATTAATTTAATAATTCGACGATATATTGATATAATATTAAAAACAAATTAAAAAATGGAATACTAAGAAATATCTACAATATTAAAAAACAAATAAAAATCCATTTTAAACACGAACAAACGACAGACTATGATAAGTATTTTATAGTAATARTGGTATGTTTTTCCGCCGAATCATTAGATTATTAATTGTATGATGTATTCATTGTTATACCTATACGGATGGCGGAGCGATAACAAACCCGAGTGGCGGGACTATTAAGTTTTCACTCATCACGCCGAAACTTTAACAAACCGTATAACAATAATTGTGACTGTCGTATTTCACGTATTTATCGTTATATTAATTTGGATATGGACGTGTGGTCTCTACCTCAAGCCGAAGAGGAAGCAGTAAGGCTGCTTCGGGATCACGGGATTTTACATTCCGAAAGAACCTGCTAAAATGGTCATGACGCAAAATTGTATTTTGGAAATGCAATATAAAAAATTCCCAAAAAAAGGTAAGTGGTCCGAAATAACATTTGGTTTGAACAACTTTCGTCTTCCATTTGTTACTGTTATTCGATTCATTTTTGCTTGGACTGAAGAATTAACTTCTATAAAATGGTGCGGACAAAATTTATAATAAATAAAAATACAGTAGTAGATTGAAATAACTATTTGCAAGAAGTTTGTGTACTTAGTATTGAGGCAAGAAACCAAGGATAAATTGGAGGACTTGGTAAATTGTTGAAATAGAGGAAATAAGCTTATGTTCCAAGCGCAAAAATAATGCAGGCAGAATATTTCCACTACAATGGATTTTTGGAGGACTACTCGTATGTCGTGAATCTAAAAAATGTTTTTTTGTTCAGGCTCCTGATCATACTAGGTCTACTCTTTTAAATACATAATTATTAAATATAAAAAAGCAAACAACAATTTATTCTGATTGTTGGCGAGGATACAACTCTAACGAACTTGAAAAAGATGGTTATACATATTTGATAGTGAACCACTACAAAAATTGTGTAGATCCTCAAAGTGGAGCATAATATACTCAAAGTGTAGAACGTCTCTGGGGATCAGCAAAATGGCAGAACAATATGATTAATAAGAATAAATAGAGTCTTGTATAACAGGAAAGAACCTATATTTTTATCATATTTATTGAATGGTCAATAAATCCCTTGAAAATCATAGGCGCAGTGTTTGAAATTTGGAGGGTGGGGAGTGGGTTAAAACCCAAAATGTATGATAATGAAAAAGTTTAATACAACATTTAGGGAATGTTTGAGGAGCTTAGTTAAGCCCCTCCACTTTTTGCGCCTTTATTAAAATATAAATATTATTTCTAAATATGAAAGTGCATTCATTTACGACATTTTTCCAAACACTGATATACATACAATAAACAACAGTAAGCATTAATGGAAAATTGCATTTAAATTGATTCCATAAAGAAATATTAAAAGCCTATTTAATTCCGTAYTTTCAACTGATTTTTGCTGATCATATTAAAAAAAGTTTTAATCAATTAATATAAAAATATGAAATAAATACCCCAGAAATRTTGATAATACGATATAAAAACACATTTTTTTATAATTTAATAGTTAATAAAAAGTTTTTATATTTAAATATTAATGTAAAACAATAATATCTATGAAATTGATTATTTATTTTATCATTATGAATAATTTTATGATCTCTACAATTAAGCAAGTTGGCAATTTTAAAAAGCTTTGTACATGTTAACTTAAATATATAAAAAAAGATTATTTAAATATATTAATAAAATTAATAATCAGGTATACATTTTATTAAGAAAATATTTAACTAAATTTTGTTTTAAGTTTAAGCTTCAGATTGTTTCAATTTTTCAACAACAACTTCCATTCGTTCATATAGAGATTTCATATTAGAATTCATTTTAACTATATTTTGATTAATGTGAGATTCTATAGTTTTAAGAAACTCATTGTTTTTTTCAATATTTTGAGAATTTTCTGTATGCTGGGCACTCAGGTTACTAATTGTCATCACTAATTTTCCAACTGAAATAAAACACAATCTTTTTAATGAATATGTTTATGACATTGAGTGTAGTTAAACGACGGTCTATTTAAATTAAGACCACACATAAATATTTAATATTTTGATCTATTTTAACACCTAATCAATTATAAAATAATCACCTTTTTGGTGCAGTGATTCCAATGCTACCATCCTTTGTAAAACTTCAGGTAATAAATGTGATTCTTGAGTTGCTTTTAAAATTATTTCATAGAGCTCATTAATTTTTTTATCTTTTTCAGGATCTTGAGAATCTAATTTTGCTGCAGTTTGTTCAAGTTTGGGTAGCAAATTGGAGACTCTAGTATCAACTGCATCCAATTGATTTGAATTAAGAACAGATAGCTGCCCTAATAATAGCCGAACAGCCTCAATCAAACCTCCACTCTCACATACGCCTAAGCGTTTCTGCGAATATTTAAAATTAAAATTAAAACTCATAATTAAAAATCATTTTATGATTTAAAAATGTATATGTTATAATAATATGTAATCTATTATTTTCCATTTTTTCTGTKTTGTCTCCTAACAACTTACAATTGAGATATAGTTAACACTCACAAGTCAAAAGTTATTTAAATGGAATTGATTGAAATATTATTATTTAAAATATTGTAATGGATAAACTTTTAATTTAAAAAAAAAAAACGGTAGATTTAAATAAAATCTGAACAACAACATTAAAATGAAAAAAAATGAATTTGAAAAGTCTAGTTTGTAAAAATTTTTTATGACAGAAAAATTAAACTTCAAAGTAAAAGAACTCTGTTCTTTAAATTTTTATATCAAAATAAACTGTAAGACGTAATCCAATCTTGAAAATAAAAAACAATATAATTACTAGTGTTAAAGTGCCAGTTCCAATTGTTGCTTCCAATTTACGCAAACGTTCTTCTAATCTAGAAATTTGAGAAACTTGATCAAGCTGAGCCCTGTTAGGTCTTATCAGTGCTTGAAAATTTAATGCCTCGGAAACACCTGTTTTATCTTGTAGTTTATCACTGCTATCTGGTCGTTTATTTAACAATTCAGTAACAGTTTCTACATATTTCCTAAAACATAAATTTTAACATAATCAGAATAATAAAAATAAGGGTACATTAAAATAATAAAAAATTTAAAATGGACATACAATTATAAAATAAAACATTCTTAGAATTTCATTAAAATTTTTCAGATGAAAAATCTTATAAATGAAATAAATAATTGTTACCATATAATTTTGATTCTAAATTTTTTTACACCCTTATATTTACTCAATAACAGAAGTTTCAATGATTTCCTAAAATTATTTTAATGCTGTAAAAGATATATAGTTTAATATTAATTTTAAATATATATTAATTATGATTAATTTGTCTTTCTGTTCTTAAAATACTCTTCCACCAGTACATTCTCCAACCAGTCCTTAACATAATTTATTGCTGTTCTGTAATTAACAGTTTTATTTCATTCTGATTTTTCTTTAAACACATTATCGTAATAATATTACAAAGACATATTTACTAATTATATTTTAGATGCTTTTTATACTTATGCCCAAATAACAAGAAACAATTTCATTTGACTAATAATTAAGACTTAAGAGTAGGATGAAACAATTTAATATTAATTTCAATGTGTGCATCATTAATAGTCCTATACTTTAAAATTAATGTTTTATATTTACTATTTAGTTTCAGCCATATACTCGTTTTGTTCAAGAAAAAAATAAACTAAAAACTAATTTATATTATTTTTAACCACACTTACTGTAAATTATCAATTTCAGATGTTCCTAGTTGTTGTTTAAAAGACTTCTCAATATTTAATGTAGATAGTTTCAGTAAAACATCTTGTACTTGAGACCCTATGTTAGTACATGATTGCTCATCAAGATCAATTTTATTTTCCTAAAAAAAAAAAATAATGATCAATTTCAATTAAAAGTTTTCTCTGTTATCTCTGGGTTTATATATAGTAAAATAATAAATTTTCCACCATAAACAGGACCAAGGTGGATTTATAAATTTATAAATCCACCTTGAACAGGACCATACAACATTTTTTTTCTTCAAGATAAGTACTGTTTTRTTTTTATTTTAATGAGTATGTGGACCCATAATGTGGTATGTGTATTTAAATGTTTAGTAGTGAAGGGCCCATAGAGTAACACAAATATAATCAGATGGTTGGCTCTCTATGTATAGGGTTACCATTTATGGTTTACAATAAAAGAGGACATTTTTTTCAAGATCATGWAAATTATTAATAAGTACATTTTATTTTTCTTATAATGTACCTATTACACCTACTGTAATAATCATATGATATACATAATATATCATTAGGTATAAATTATATTTAATTGTACACATTTATTAGTTGATATTTAGACTTGAGAAAATAAATTAAATACTATAGAATTTCTTCGTAATTTAGAAATAAATAAGTACTAACACAGAATAAGACAATTATATAAATATCTATATACTGATATTGAGGTGATTATTAAAAAAATTCACATTTCWTGAAAAACCCTGACATTTTCCAATATTGAAAAAACTCCCCCAGACGTTTTTATTTAAACTTAAAAAGAGGACATGTCCAGGGAAAAGAGGTCGTCTGGTAACCTTATCTATGTAATAGTATTTATATAGTATATAATATTATCAGATAAGATAAGAATAAAAGCGTAAGTTTAATATTTTAGCAAATACATGTATACAAATATTTTTTGGACTAAAAAATTAAACTCATTTGCTTTCATTTTAACTATTATATAAAACAGCTAATACTAAAATTATATTTTGTTAGGTAAATATTATTATAATACATATTAAGAATGTGATTTTAATTAATGAAATCAGTTAAATAATTTAATAAAATTTGTCTAACTATATTTAAGAAAAAATACAATTAAATCAGGTATTATATAAATTATTATAATGTAAAATTAACCTGCAAAGAACTTATTTCTTGAACCAATTCTTCAGTTTCCAACTTCAATCTATAATACTTTTGTAGTGGAGTTTCTTTTTCTCCTTGTGCTGCTAATTCCCATAGTTGGCTTTAAATGTTTAAAGGTAATCATGTTAAATTGAATGCAAATAGGTATCTACAATTTGTAAATACTTACCTTGAATTATATCCAGTTTTAAGTGATCTACCCAATTTATCAGAAAAGTCTATATTGTCTGAGCTGATGACTTTGTCTTTAAAGTGTTTATAAGCTTCAGTAGGAGCCAATTTGACGCGTTCAATATCATCATTGTCCTAGTTATAACTTATATTAATTAGATATTTAGTAATATTGGACTTAGATTTGAATATGTTTGTATATTGTTTTTGGTTGATTATTTCTGATGATGATGATGTTGTAATGCATATTTTTTGTTTGACACACTCAAGATTTTAAAGTAATTTAAATATTTTTACCAATCAACATAGTAAGAGTCTCGTGTGTGTTATTTGATACCCATGATATTATGCTATTTTATTTCAAGTTAGAAAGTTTTGAAAGGATTCTTTTCCAAGAACAATACTTGTTATACTACTTACACTGGTGTTGAAACAATAATTTTGAAAAAATATAAAAAAAGTATTTGAAAATGTAATAAGTATCATAAAAATATACATTAATAGAAAATCTTTTGAAATTCCCTAATATTTTAATATATTTTTCTACATATAACTGTATAACATAGACAGTAGACACATAAGACATAAACATATTAAACCTTACCTCTTCTGCATAATCAAGTTGTTGGTCATCTTCTGGTAATTCAAAAGTCTCATAGACATCAGGTTGGTCATAAGCCTTGGAAAAAAATTATTTATTATACAATCTTGATATTGAAATAATCAGCATAATTAATACAATTTTTTCTAAAATGTATATTGAAATTTTAAATGATACATTTGTTTAAGTGATCAGAATCACTTTACCTCGATTCAAGGTGTATAAGATGTAATAATTATAACTAATTAGACATAATAACTATCTGGTTTGATGCTATAACATATTGTAATCYAGCATCAACTTAAAAATCTAAAGTTTAAATAAATATGTACATTCTTTATTATTTTAATGGATACCTAAACTGTTAAGTAGTATACATGTCACAAACTATTATAATATTGTGACATGTGGATACTCAATTACTAATAATCAATACTTACAATTCCACTTAAATGAGCGTATTTTGAATCGACAGTCATCTTAATAGAGTTTATTATTTTACACGTCCTATGTAAAATGACAGAACAATAATAATGGTAATACTATATAATTTAATATGTTTTGAAAAGATGATAATGAAATAGAAGGTATGCCTAAACTCAAATCTCAAATACCCAAGATTCAATAGACAATATATTGACAAGGCATCATAGTATAGATAAAGCTAAATCAGATATTATAGATAGCAAAATAAGTGTTTTTAGTTTCTTTTTTTTTTTAATGCAAGGATTGCAACTTGCGTATTAATATCAACGGTATCAGCATAGAACAATACGGTATCAGTATGGAAATCACAAGACGTATTGACGCAATGATGCGTAGAGACAGACGCCATCTGGTTTTATACGTTCTATGATGATATACCACTATATACACAGAATTACTCAAAGAAGCCTTCTTAGTAGTACCAAAGAACAAACGTAGTACTGTACTACTGTCTACTAGGGACAATTTCCGAGTTAAATACCTTCAAATTACGATTCACTTTCTCTTTTTAATGCCGGATAACAACTAACAAGCAGTAACAACCCCCTATTATGTCATAATAATTTTTATTTTTTTTTAACGATCATTGAACTATAAAAAAAATATTTATACTATACAGAGTTAGGTATCGTATCGTACCTTACTATCTTTAATCATGGTTGTGGTCAAGGTTAGGTTAGGTTAATTAATTTAGTTATTAACTTAACCTAACCTTGGTTGTGGTTATAATTTGTTTTGTAGTTTTGTACATCACTACTTATCAATGTGATAACAACATTTCATTCGTAATTCGTATTAAATTTGAATATTGTAAAATTAATAATTATTCAACTTAGATTTCTAATTTTTATTCCTTTTTGGTTTGTTTTTTTAAATATAAAATTATTGTTCAATTCATCGGTTTTTTTTTAAATATTACGCTGTCCTGATTGTGATAATTTTTTTATTTGTGATATACTTATTCTAAAATGGAAAACACTAGTGTGGAAATGGAAGTAGACGAACCCCAAAATAATGTTTTAGCTACAAATGTTACGGGCAGTGTATCTATATCTTTACATCCGCTAGTCATTCTTAATATATCTGAACACTGGACTCGTTTAACAGCCCAAGTTGGTAATTCAGTTCCTTCAATCGGGGCCTTGATCGGTAAACAAAAGGATCGAACTCTTGAAATAATGAACTCGTTTGAATTGTCATATACCGTACTTGAAGATAATGTGACAATGGTTATTGATAGAGATTATTACAACTCTAAAGAAGAACAATTCAAGCAGGTTAGATAAATATTAGTATTTTGTCCTAACTTCATGTTATATTTTCTATTATATTATCAATAAGTTTGATGACCTTGTATGTCAGATACACTTAATAATAATAAAAAAAATTTCCTAACTTCAGATCGTTATTTTTTCTAATTTTATATTTATTATTTTAGGTGTTTTGTGACTTGGACTTTCTTGGTTGGTACATAGCTGGAACTGGTTCAGATAAACCGACACCTCAAGATATTGATATACATAAGCAAATCATAAATATTGCTGAAAGTCCTATATTTTTAAAAATGGATCCTCATGGTGGACATACCGATCTGCCAGTCAAAGTATATGAATCTGTCATTGATATAATGAATGGAGTCCCAAAAATGTTATTTGTTGAATTGACATACACCTTATCTACTGAAGATGCAGAACGTATTGGTGTTGATCATGTTGCACGAATGTCAACCAATGATGCACAAGAAAATAGTTTGGTTGCTGAAACACTAACTGTTCAGTTTAATGCCATCAAGATGCTACATAGTAGAGTTAAAATGTTACTTCAGTATTTGAAAGAAGTAAAGAAATCTGACGAATCAGTGAACAATGAATTATTGAGGTGAATATTTAAATTTAAGATTTGAAATGGAGGGGAGTCAAGTTACATTACTTTTGAGTTAAAAAGTAACTTAATTACAATAGAAGTTACTGTTTTTAAAATAAAATGTATTATGTCAAATAGGCAATAAAAATAGCTATTAGAAAAATATCACAATTAAGAATATTAAATTTATAAATAAAAATACTAAATACTTATTTGATATTATGTTATAATATTCACATATATATATACATAATATATCAATTATTTTTGATAATATTAAAAGAAAAAAAGTAACTAGTAGTTTTGTAATATTGCTACCTAAAAGTAATCTAAATTACGTATAAATTACTTGCAGTAATTAGTAATTAAATTACCATAAAATTACTTAAAAAGTAATTTCCTGTAAATTTGTTATTTAAGTTAAGTTACTTCCCAACACTGCTCATATAGTAGTATCAAAGTCTGAATTCCAATACGAGTAAACAAGTAACTCATATTCACAATTAATCAGTACATATAATATCTTAAACACTTAATTTTGAAAATATATGCATTGATACACTTACCTTTATAAAATAAACCTAAATAATGTGTATATTGTACATATCTTTTGTATTTAATGGGAATTTTTCCAATGTGTATAAAAATAAAATTAAAAATCAGTGGGCAGTGGCATATTATGGTTGAAAATTTCATCCCTAAAATTCATTATAAATGTTCTGATTACATTATTTTACTGAAACTAGAACATATTAATTTGCTCATCAAAAATTTGCCTTCGATACCCTTTTGTTGCAAATTATATTAAGGGGATTTGATACCGTAACTATCCATATTTGTCTATGTAATACACTGGAAACTTAGGATTTTAGACGTTTTTATACTTAATGTTAATGAAATATGAATTATACTAAATGTTTATAAAATTTAATATAAATTATACTTAATGTTTATAAAATTAAATATACATTATTAAATACCATCAAAAGCTTTAAATTGTAATTTAATTTCACTTTTAAGTTTTATCTTCATCAATCGCTTAATTTTTTTTTTCCATTATGTTTATATCAATTTGCAGATGTATATGTAATATATTTTAGTATTTATTAATACTTTATACTTCATCCGTCTTCCAAACTTAAAGATCTCTTCAATTTAAGAGTTTTCTATACCAGAAAGTAATTGATTTTACATTTCTATTTTCTAATATGGATTTATCATTAAATACAATCAATATAGTACTAAATAAATTAGTTAATTAAAAATGGTTGATTTAATGGTTCTATAAAATATTAAGTATATTATAATAAACAAAATCTTGTTTTATTTAGTGTTTCGTTATAAAACTAATAATAACCAGAAATATTAGCATAATAATAATAATAAAAAAAAAATACCAATTTTATTATGAATCCAATAACAATAAAATAAATTAAGTCATTTGTCAATAAAAAATATATTATATGTAAACATTTTCTATTTTCTAGGGAATTYGTTTCTTTGTGTCATCGACTACCAGTTATGGAATCTGGAGAGTTTTACAGGGATTTGTATACACATTGTAATGATGTAGCACTGATTGCTTACTTAGGTGTATTGACAAAATGTAGTAATGAAGTAAACGATTACTGTAACAAGTTTAATGCACTCTATGACCGTCAAGTGGTTGGTAGAAAAGTTAAGGGTTTGTTTTTATAATTTTTTTTTTCATATWAAATGTTGAAACTTTATAAATCAATATGTAATAATACACATTTATTAATTATTAATACCTTTTAACTTTTGTAAATCGGTTTAGGCGATGTAAACCAATTTTGAAAAATAAAAATAAAAACTAAGACTGTCATAATATTGAATAAATGTACAATTTAAGTGAATTTGTTGATATTTTTATTTTTATTTTTTTATTTTAACACTTATAAAGCTTAGCTCTAAACTTCACAACATCAATATAGTTGTGCTCATTCCCTAAATAAGAATTAGTTTTTAACAAGCTATATTTAATTTACAAATAACCCATGAACCAAAATTGTTGAGATCACTCAATAGTAGGAATTTAATTTTGTTTTATTTATTAATAGGTTTTAAATAAGTATGTTTGAAGAAAAAAGTTATCAGTCAAAAAAAAAATACAATAAATTAAGCTTGATATGTGGAGAGCATTTAAGAAAAATAAAAAAGGTGCTTTTTAAATTTTTGTCTACATGCTTGTAAAATTTCAGGTTATTGTCATCTTTATTTCCTAATGATTAAAAAACCAGCTTTGGCTTTATTTAAATAAGATTCTTTTCATGGAACATATAAATTGTAGCAACATTTGAAGGCCTAATTTCTATAGATATACATATACTGGATGATCCATTTAACGTAAAACACTCATTATTTCAAAAAGTATTAACATTTTTCAAATTTTTATTTTTTAAATATCAAAATGATATAATACTTAAACATTTTTCATATCCCCTAATATTTTAATCCTTATTTTTGTAGATGTGCCAGGCCAAGTCACCATATGTTTATTGTCTAATATCTATCTGTGTAATGTAATAAGTGTTTATAAGCTGTCCTGATGACCCTGATTCAAAGATTATTGATTTGTATGATTGACCTAAAAATTAATAACAATAAGTGTAAACAAACACAAAAAGCTTCTCCTATATCGTATTTTGAATTGGTTATACCTCAAAAGATATTGAATCAAAACAAAAAATTAAAGCGCAGAAGTTCTTAAAAAAAATAGTTTTATAATTTGTTGGTATTAAATATAGGTGTTATCATTTTAAAACTCAAAGTTGTTTCATATTTATCATATAACAAAAAAATGATAAAATGTTGGGAATATTAATTATATGTAGATATCATTTAATTTTAACATTTCAAAAAAAAAATAAAAAGTTAAAACTTTTCGAAATAAAAAGTGTCCTATGTTAAATGGATCACCCTATATATGTATATAATATATTATATATATATATTTATTTATTTATAATTATACATTATTATTTAATAATACACAGCATTTGAAGGACAAGAAAGATCATGCCCATGATATTACGACATATTCAAAGACTGTCTTTTATGATACTCTATAACCTATTTAGATAAGTGGTATCTCAAAATGAGTAAACTAATGTTACTTCATATGCTTCGTTTCCCTAAGTGATTACATTTATTAGTCACAATTTTACGACTTAATAAATAATTAGTAAGGGTCATTTATGGTCCGGTTGTCAATGGTTGGTGACAATAACGACTGTAAACTGGTCGATAGAGCGTAATATTTTATAGTGTGTGGAGACTTCAAATGTCGATGTGGTATTACTTCACGCACTCCAGGATTTGTTAACTCTTCCTAAATTATAAAAAAAAAAATGTAAATAATTTTTTTTTTAAGTTTTAGTAATTAATTTGTACCTGTAGCGTGAAGACTTCTTCTCAGGATTGGGTTAATTTCATTTTACGACCCGTGATGGTGCCCACCAATGACTTTAATGTAGAACTGATACCTTTCCTTGATATGCCATTTACATTTGGACTATCAATATTATGACATAAAGATGCATTTGGATTTAAACCTTGAGGGTGTGCATCTAAACATTTTTGGTATCGTAACTGCAAAAAGTAAAATTAAAATTAAATGTAAACTACGATTAGTTAGCAACGACATACTTTGCATGCAGCTTCTATAGTTTTACAAAGTGTTCCGGCAGATGGTTCACACTCGAACACATGTGCAATAAACAGATCTTGGGTAGTATGCATTATAAAAGCGCATTGTTTTATATTTTGACCTATTCCCAAAAATGATAAGTACCTAACTCGACATTCAACCATTTGATCTCCTTCATCCTGAAAACCAACAGATATTATGGATATTTGTGTCACTCGTATTTTTTAATATTTTTCGTATTACAGTATCTTGTTGTATGGTAATCATTGAAGGTGCTACAGCCACTGTAACAGTTTGGGGTACCGATGTAGGAGAATTTTCCAAAGCGACAATCGCGTCATTTAGTACATCCATCCCGGATGCTTTGCTCACTTCAATCGAACCCAAGTAAGTAGCTCGAATGACTTTACGTGGTTCTTCCATCGGTGTAGGGAATGATTGAGCTTTGAAAATAATATCGAACAATTATTACATAATTGAATGATATAAGAACTAAGAACATAGCCCAACTTAGGAATTTTGGGGCCCCAAAATTAATTATTATCTAAATTTTAAATAATCAACTTAAATTATAAATGTAGTCTTTATGCTATATAGATTTGTTCAATTAATTTAAGGTTATAAATCAATTATACCATAATAAGGCTATATAAGTAATATGTTGCTTTAGATTAAGGGTTGTCAACCTTTTCAAATAAGTGAGTTATATTCTTAATTTTAAAACTGATGATCGACATATATTTATTTGCATTTTTTTACATTAGAACATGAAGTTTATACAATATATTGTATCGTGTATACTACATTTTTATTGCGATCACCTATAGTCCTATAAAGATCGACTGATTGGTGATGCTTTCTTAATTCCTGATTTCGATTTGTAAAAGGTTTTTAACAATTTAGAAAAAAACTGACAAGAAATTTGGTTTTAGTTATTTTCGATTGAATATTTGTAAAAAAATTGGAACGGTCGCGACGTTTAGACGCTGTTTGTAAAACCGTTTTGACGCGGCGTTCAAACGCCGCGTCTAGCGTCGACTAGCCGCAAGGTCCGAACGCCGCGTCCGGATGCTGCAAGGAAAACGTACCTTAATTATTTAATGACAATTAATAAAAATAAAACGATGAAATTAAAAATATGAATATAAATAAAGAAGTGTCGGTACATAAATTGTAATCATAACGATATAAAGTGCTTTTGACCAACTTTATCTTAAAACTTAATAGCTTATTTTATCGATTAGAGAATAATCATAAATTCCATCACGATACCAACGTGACTAACGAAACTACGTAACCAATTACTTCAAAATGCCACTTTAATAATTAAATATCAACAGAGGCCCGGGGCGCCAAATAATATCGGGGCCCGGGGCTGCAGCCCCCTAGCCCCCCTAAGTTGGGCGCTGACTAAGAAGACATAATATTATACTCAAGTTGGTGGTTGCAGAGTAACTGCCCCGATAACTTCTACGTTTGCGATATTCCAGTGGAAGGTTCGTTGGTCTAACCGGTTGATTCATTTTTGTTGCAGTATCTACAAAACCGTACTAATTAGTTACCGTTCTAAAAAATAATATGTTTAGTGTATACTTATGTCTGTAGATCTAGAAATATTCTGCTGGAGACTGCGCTCAATCATGATTTTTTTACAAATGTCCCTAAGAGTGTTAGCAATTGTACGAGCAGGCATGTCACATCTGAATACATGGCACATGTGTCGGCGGGTTATTCTGTCACGAGCTACGTACGCAAAATCCCTGAGAAATAATTTTGTAGATTCGATTTATGGATTTATATAATGCCAATAAACTATATTACTCTTATATTTTATTATTATTATTATTTTTTATAAACTCATAATTAAATTATATACATTATTATTATTACCTTTCCCTATGGGTTAAGCATTGAAAAAAAATAACAACAATGGATTATAAAAAACAATACATTATTAATTTAGGTAACAATATAAATATGATATCAATGACTAACAAACCTGCCATTGTCTCGTCCAACTCCCCACACTCTAATTGTGTGTATGGGTTGCGTATTCAACACAGTGAGGTTTTCTGGATCTATTAATTTCAATGCTCCTTCATCCAAATCCATAAATAGGTCTTTCCCCTGAAATGTTATCCATTAAAAAAAAAAAAATTATATTTATTTAGCAGTTAGGTTGATACTGAAGCAGTATACGGATATAGGTAATAGGTACTCACGTCTCCCCATCGACCGACATTATCAATAAAGTCGTTACGCCCAAGTGATAGATCAACAATGCATTTGTTCACAGCTTTGCTACTTCTTTCTGGGGTTAAATCGTCTTCGCAAATTTCTACCCATCCCAAAGAACGCACAGCAAATCGTATACCTTTGTTTTCATTTTCGATTCTAGCTGGATAACTTCTTCGTCTAAAGCATATTATATAATATATTTAGTGAGATCAACGTGAATAGATTTGTTTTAAATAATGCTATACTATTTTATTTAATATTTTACTTATAAGCCATGTCTTCTTTTCTATTCTTTTGGTAACAAAGATTTTCGAGAGCTGAGCTCGTCGTACTTCTAGTCACTGAACTTACTAAACCTCCAGTGTTATTTTGAAAACTATTTAATACCTTAAACAAATACCAATATATTATATGGTGTATCTTATATTATAGTTTTAATAATTAATGTATTCAAAAGTTTTAAAAATTAAGTTAATATAATTGTTATACGTGGATTACAGATTTTAATTTTTAAGTCGACAAGTAAACAATTTATAATTCAAATAATTTGTTACCTACTGTTTTAGTCAGAGCATATTTGAACATATAAAGTACGTGGCACTAGTGCCGCCCAGTGGGAAAAAAGCGTTGGGTCTGAAGGTTGATTTAACTTATATCAGTGTTCCTCAAATAAAATGTTTTAACAAAATGCTATCCAGTAAACATTACTTAAAATATGCTCTGGTTTTAGTGTTATATCTATTAGAATTTAATATTATAGAATTGATTATGGTAAATTAATATGTATATATATTTTATAATATGCATTATATGCATAATATTATATTTTACCTATAGGTATTTAATATTTTAAGCTATATTATCATTACCGATTCTGCATCTTTGACCAATGGTGTTTTCGGTTCATTTTTACCACTGTATTCAGGAGGTTCCCTTTGAATCGTCCCGCTTTTAATGTGCCAATAATAAGGACCGTCGTTGTCTAAAATTAAATTATGCCAATACCTATATAACTTCTTGAAAGGAAAAAAGTAAAGACACATTGAAACTGTACGCACCTTCGTGTTTTTCCCATCCGGCTGGCAATTCATCGTTGCATTCGTGTGAATTATTTTTCACTGGAACTGCATACAAATCATTATTCAAATCACCTTGAATATGTTGTATATCCATGTTAATATTAGATGTATCCTTTTGTTTGTTTAAAGATAGAGTATTAGGTGGCGTGCGTTTCTCGTTTATGCTATAATATAGGTATAGGTATGTATTATATTATTTTAATTTTATTATTAATAATTATTATGTACAATATAACATATGTACAATGTACTTATATTAAACGTGTATTATTAATTGATCAGATAATAGATAAACTTACTTCCCGCCTTTACATTTTGTTTGCTCGGATTCTTCGATTAAATCTGGTTTTACGTACGACACTTGCATTTGGTGGTTTTGGTTACTAACGTTCGTTAAATCATGCTGATTTATAATACTCATGTCTCTTGTCACGTTACGACTTAAGTTTGTATTCCTATGTAAAAAATTACATAATTTTCTTCAGTTTTTAATTATAATTTTTATGTTTGACCAATATTTTACCAATTTTTTCCTGTTTGGCCCAACACGTCCACGCCCATTGATCCCAAATCCAAGGATTTGTAGCGTTTTCTATTAATGTTGTCCGTGTTAATATTACACACTGTGTCGAATTCCCGACACAAAAGTTCTGAATATAATATACAGTCATCATTCAAATTGAACCCAGCTGGAGAATCAGTAGTTGATGTTAGGTTTGAATTCAATGCATCATCCAGGGCTAAGTGACCCGTCCCAGCAAGATGATAATTTGGATTCTCATAACTTAGACGACCGTTTTCTAAAAAAAAAAACATTCAACATTTTTGTGAAAATTAAGAATAATAAACTATTGTTTATTTATTTTCTTATAGATTTAACTATAACGTACATTATTAGTTGTATTTTTAAGTTTAAATTTGAAATATGGTCATAATTCATAATGCTAATTTTTATAATATACTTTAAGTAAAATACCTACTAGCTATACTGTGGTAAAATATTAAAACTTAAGATAAATACCCACACTGACACTATATACTATTATATCCTGTCTAAAGTAAAATGTAATATTATATCTTTTATGCTTGGAAAACTTTATTTTAAATCGAGTTAAATAAAGTACTTAAATAATTAAGTTTCCAAGAATTTAGCCAGGTTTTAAAACTAATGTAAAAAAAAACTCTTGACTTGGACATATTATTATTAGTATATAGAGGGTGATCCATAATGAGTGGGTATACTAATCCTTTCGAAATGTATTAACTATTTTGAATTATTATTTTTTAAACTTCTAGGTTWATGTTTTTCTAAAACCGTATAACATTAAAAAAATTTTCATATTTATTAGTGAAGTCACTATTAACTTTTAATTTTCAAATGGTAACATATAATATCATGGATTAATAAAACCATTTCAATTATGAATTTACGCCTTAACATTTTTATTTTTCGTAGATTGGTATGCGAGATACAGCTCCTCAAATTATTGCTGGTTGAAGCGGGTGTTATAGTCGGAAATGCAGCATTGTTTATACTATTTCTTCATTTGTAAAGATCAGGAGCTATAACTGATAAATTCAATATAATATTTCGAATTAATAAGTAACAATATTACTTTTCTAGTCGATAAGTCAATAAATGATTATGGTTCAAAGTACAATAGTAATCTTTAATTAATTGTTATATATTTTGTTACCTTGGATTCATCGATATTGAATTTATCAGTAGCTCCTGGTATTTACTATTATTGAAAAAATAGTAAAAACCACTAACACTTTGAGAAGCTGTATATCGCAAACCAATTAATGAAAAATAAAAATTTTAAATGAATTCATGAAAAAAATGGTTTTATTAATTTGTGATTTTTTACTACATATTACCATTTGAAAATCAAAAGTTGAGAGTGGTTTCACCAATAAATATAAGGGTGAAAAAATTTAAATATCAAACGGTTTTAGAAAAACATAAACCTAAAAGTTTAAAAAAATTAATTCAAAAAAAGTTAATAGATTTCGAGATGTTAAGTACTTAAGTATACCTGTATACCCACTTAAATGGATCACTCTGTATATACTCAATAAATCAGATGAAATATGTAAATTTGCTTTAATACTAACTATCTATATAAATATACAGTATAAACTGTAGTAAGAATCTAGTACATAGATTTGTTATTTTACGGGTATATGGTATAGAGACAAAGATATGCAAGTGTAGTAGCACTATAGTGTCCTCTTATAACCGTTAATTCAAATGTAAATATTTACACATGTCACATGTGTATAGGTAGTACTAGGTACACATAAAATTATAAATGTATATTCATTAGTAAATATTGAATACCAAATATTATATAATAATTATTAATAGTGATAAATACATTTTAGTGTACTTTTGAATTATTTAAAAATTATCTACCTACGTATGGCTAATTTCGAGTTGGCTAATTTAATGAAAATAACTGATTATACTTGCCCACCTATATTTATTAAATTATTTAACATAATGTTTTAGTTTGTCTTAAAAGTTATAATAGCTAGTTTGTAGTCTATTCAAAATATTCAACTAAAGCTCATTTTTGGTAGGTTTATTATTCAAAATTATTTTCAATCGTTGAGTTGTAAAATTCATGAAAAAAATAACCATATTTAAGTATTTATCTATTATTCAAGACAAAGAAATAAAGAAAACATTAATTTTTAAAATTAATATTGATTTTATAAATTATTAAATCGTCTATAAAAAAAAATACACACCCACAATTACTTGAACGTAGTCCATTGATAAACATATAATAAATTATATTGTTATGGTAAACTAAATAAAGAAAACGTATTATGCGTAGTACAACTGTAGTCGTGTGTAGTAATATTTTAACCATGCGCATAGTAAGCCAGCCAGTTCGCCACTATATAGTGTAGAGATGACTCATAACGCTCGAATATAAAAATCGATATACCTATATTATATGGGGTATACAAACTCCCGGATGAATAATGTACAGTTTCTCAAAACAAAATAAAAAATGCTACTTCCATCAAACGCTAGATGATAATATGAAACATAAGTACCGAATATTTTATATTATAATATGATGAAAGATTCGTATACCTATAATTTTTTTTAAATTATTACAATGAATATCTATATTATCTTTCCAACTGTTTAAATTAATACGATTAATTTTTAATTTTGAGAAACATGCATTATATGTAACATATTTTGTACTATTGTATAAATATCCAAGAGCCAAACATAAGTGTACCTATATTATGAATAACTTGAATATTTCAAAATTCGATCAATGTTTAGAAATGTTTCATGCAATTTGGTAATATTATAGATTAAATATAATAACCTATACAGTATACAATATACATATACCTATATAATGATAAGTGTGATGTACAATAAATATAAATTTTTTATCATTTATCTATTATTATAATTTATAGGTGCAAATCGAATTATTTTCAAACTAGCCAGAAGGAGCTAATGATTTTTGTCTGCGACAAAGCCCACCCCTCCTTGCCAAAAAAAACCCGTTCATATATACACGACGTAATCTTCCGTAAGAAAGTTATTTCTAGGATTTCACAAAAATAACCTATAGCCCTAAAAATATAGTCTATTTGCACCTATTCACTTAACACTTATGTACCTATATCGTAATAATATCAATTGCTATAATTAAGTAGAAATGAAAATATTAGCAATTATTTTATTGAATAATCGCTAAAATAAATCATTAAAAAAATTATCGTTTTTGGATGCAGGCGTACTATTTTCATATTCCTCTGCGAATTRATTCAATAAACAATGCGATAAAGGTATAAACTATAAAGTAATTAGTAATTAGTATTTACCAAGCAAATTGTCGTCTTCAACAACTGCAGCAGTCATCATCGGATATAGAGACGACAACAATGTAGCGTATGGACTTCGATTTGGGGATCTAATTATTTCACCACACAACATACCATACGTGTTCTGACCTCAAATTACACACCCTAGATAACACAAATTAGTACATGCATAATTAACATAAGACATAAATAATAAATTAACTTATACTATAGCACTCATACATTATTTTATTTTAAGCACTTCATATGGACATTTGTATAGTTGTAGTTGTTTCAAAATCTTCAATTGAATTGAGCTATTTTTTTATAACAGACATTTGGGTTTGATCAATGCAGCGTGTATTTAATAAATTTAATTAACTAGTAATGTCTTTTTCGTTTGTATTTATAACTTAGGTAATTCAAATAAAAACAGATTTACTGAATATCCAATAGTTTTTATWATCATTGTGCCAAATCACTAKGCAGTATAATCAGTAATTATTATACATTTTAAATATAATAAAATGATTTTTTTTAATACTCTTTAGGGCTGATTTGAACKATCAATGAATATATCATATTATACGACAAATTTTTCAYAATAATTCATATCAGATTATACTTCAGCCGACTTTTGAAAAAGTTATAAACGTTTATTGAATATTTGATAGGTAAAGTWACACTATATTAACGTTAACTACCTACTGTAAAAATTTTTTTTTTCAAAACGTTTTTTTCTTCAACCGTTGGTATTAATATATCAGTATATCACACAAATGTCACAAATACTATATTKAGTTTAATGAAATAAACATTAATGATCAATATATCTATATAGTTCAAAAACAAGCCGTTTAAAGATTTAATTATGAAAAAAATCACAATGTGCACCAATACAATGACGATAACAGTCCAGAAACGAGTTTACAAGGCGAGGGCGTGAAATGCATGAAATGCTAAGACGGCCGACGGGACGTATTCATTTCCTCCATCCTACCGGCAATATTGATTGGGTCTGAGCGACCATTTTTGGCGCCACAAAGGCTGCACTTTATTACACTAGTCTTGCGTGGTGGTCCGAAATTAAAAAAGACATGTAGACTTGTTGGAGCCAAGTGCATTATTCAAATCAGTCAAACTATTATGTTATTTTTAATTTGTGGAATCCATGGAATATGTAGAATATTATTATTACAGTTAATGAATAATGATTATTATTGTGAATGTTTTTTCCATTATTATGCATCGACTGTTTTATAATATTGAACTACATATTATGCGTCTAAAATAAGTTTTAAGTCTTACTAAGTTCTAAGTTTTAAGTTCATTATATTCTMTTTTCTAGTTTTAATTTTGTTKTATAATAATTTGTGTTAAAAAAGAGAAATATCCAATAACATATCGTGTCTGGTGTCTATCGGTAACAAAAATGCTTATATATATATTATATATATTTTGGCTATCTAGTTAAATAAATAAACATATTAATATACATATTGATTACCGAGTAATTACTAACTATGAATTATAAAACAAGATTATTATAACGATATACAGATAATAACTTTTTATTTTTTGAGTTAATCTGGTTTTTATACTATTTTCTAATATTAAAGATCCCTACCTAAGAATAGATTACCTTTTCTATCAATTAAGTACTGTTATATTGATGTGATATCGAATGAAATATCATAAATATATAATTAATATAATGAATGATGATGGATTTAATGAAAATAATAAATTATAAAATTTAACTATACTCGTATGTATTACAAGTCAATGGTATTGTTGAGGCTTCAACTTTCTAAATAAAAAAAGATATAAAATGATTTTTAATACAATTTTGTACAATATACAACGTGATTGAACATTGAAATATTAAGTTATAGGTACTATTCCGAGTTGCATAAATATTTTCGCAGACAATTTAATTAACCAATATAGTGAACTAATAATGATCTTTTATAAATATAATTTAAAGGCCCATGGTCGTTTATTAAGTTTTAGTGAACCATAACATAGATAATTATTTTATGCAACCCGGCACCAGTATATTTAAAACAAATAAAAATTACATTTGATGAAAAGCTTTAAACCAACGAAGTATTCGATATAAATATAATATTATGTATATAAATTCGTGTATTATTTATGTACAGTTACATGGTCTAGAGAATAAAATTGTATATACATATATATAATTATTATACTTACAAAATATCTTTTTCGACAGGATTCGGATGATTAATAGCCTTGTAATAAAAGTTACAACTGGCGTTCGACTGTCACTGCAGCGCCGAAATGACAAACAGAGTATAAGAAACGATAACCCAGCTGTTGGTCATAAAAGGTTAGTCAGGCGCAGGACGCAACAATACAAACATGGCCGACGCTAGAGGGTATCGATTATTTTTCCTGCGCTTGCACACACATACACATTACGCAGACACTCGGCGAGACATTAATTTTAAAAATGATCGAATTAGGTTTCGACACGTTTAAATTTCTGGAAAAATACAGYGAACTATTTGGAAAGTCATGGAAAACATATATTTTTTTATTTTCTTAAAAACGCTGTGATAATATGTATTATAGATATAGATGTATAATTGGGAYAGTACAAGTATTATACGAAAAACTATTTTAGCGCACGGTGCGTTTCCCGTTCGCGTTCCTGTTGTGTAAAAGCGCAYGTCATATTTATAAAGCGCGAGGAGTCTGCACCATATTATAATCTGCAATACTACTTTCCGTTTAATCGTTTAATGTATAATAATATACTAGTATAAACTTTTCACCCAAATTGATCCATTTTTAATAATCATTTAATTTATGTTGAACAACCACCACAACGCACATATTATTATATACATATATATTATATACCTAACTACAACCACACCTAGTTTGACTGATTTATATATACATTTCGTACTGTTTTATCTACTACCAAAGGTCGAGTAGATGTTTCWAAAAGCTTTTAGCCACTAAACAAACAATCGTACTTACGCCAGTAGGTTGGTATAATATTTACTTCCGTATTGTGATAATATTATAATTACGTTTCGCGTGCAGTGTTTATAATAATATTATAGATGCATTATCATTATTTTTGTATCCACAATCCACTATAACGTCAACGCGATACTGATTTTTTTTTTTATAAATAGATACCGTTTTACTGTTACACAATAACCGATGAGAATTATCCAAAAGTATAATTATTACCCAAGTACATGACACCTATGTATGCTGTGTACATAATAATGTACATGGAACTTACGGCTTTGAAAAATACTTTTGGAAGGAAAATGACTTTTGACACATTTAGAGCTAAAGGCAGTATTCGTATTATCGCACTAAACACGAAAAGAAAAGTAAAAAAGTTGCACTGCAGAAAAATTAACCGCGTGGAACTCACAACATTTAATCCAGAATCGAATTGGCGAATGACGATAGACCATTGGAATAAAAGACCGCGCGCACTCGGTCTCCTGATAAGGAAATAACGACCCGGCCACTGCGACGCTGCACATGATAACGGTACCCTGGATGACCTCGTGTGTCTGTCAACTTATCGTGTGATGTGTGTTCATGTGTACACAATATAATGTGCCTACTGCAGCCTATATAGGTAGACTAAACCACCTTTACTCATCTGAAACAACATACAACAAAATCACTTATGAGAAACAATTGTCCRAATTCGAGTCTGTGAAAAAAAACTGTGATTTACAAACAGGATAAAACAAGATATACGAAATTAACAACGACATATAATTATTCTATATTCCATGGTCTTTTGAAGAATATCCACATATTAATATTGAATTTAACTATTTAAGGATAATATAATAAAAAAGAGATAAAATGCATTTGAGTAAATTAATAATTGAAAATGCTTCTTTATAATCATTAAAAAAAAAATCTTTTTAAATAAATCAACCACTAGGTATAAGTGATTTTGCCAATTCCAATAAAAAAATATCAAATATTTAAATTTCTATAAAGAATTGTATAAATTAGTTTGCTGAGCTTACTAAAAGTTCATCTACCTAAATAGGCGTATAGATACCGCCTAACCTACAATTTTTAGATTAAATGCACAATGCTGGAAGAAAAATTATTTTAATTTAATTAAACAAGTCTCCAGTAGCTACGACAGTTTTTAAATAAGTGTCTCATTCAGGATTTGGATCTAATTAATAAATATTGAAAACAATGATATTGCATCAGTTGCGCGGCATATATACGCCACTGTCTTCATATGCATAATATATATACTGTTGGATCACTAATTATTTTGAAAAGTATTTAATTTCTCTGAAATTCCTTTTTTTCAAAGAAACACGTGAAATATTGACGTTTTATATTGCCCTTATTTTTTTCCACCTTATGTCGGATGGTGAAACCTTATTGATTTTTAAATAATATCCTATATTTTTAATTACATGATCAGCAGTAGACCTTACAGATATTAAAGTCATGTTTACATACAATGTCATCCTTAGACCTATTTCCAGGACGTCAAATGGCAAACTCATTATTTAATATATAAATTACATATGTATACTAAGCAATTATACGTATTAGTCGTATTACCATTCTTTTTAAATACTTGTATTTACTAATTGTATATCAATAGCTATTATCTTTCAACTGTAGCTCTCTATGAGTGCATGCGAACGCTTCCGTTGGAAAAGTGTATAGGTGCTATGCAGTAGTGATCTTCAGAACACGACTTATTGGAATAGGTACTGCAAAACTATYTTACATTTTTAGTATTTTAGTATTTTTAACAAAATTTATTTGTATATATAATCTAAAAACATAAGTATACAGGGTAATTATTTAAAGGTAAACATTAACTTATTTTAAAAATATTATTTATGAACGAGTAATTAATTGATGTGTAACACTGGCCACTGGGTATGTAATTTAAAATATATAACATCTAATAATATATTTTAAATTTTAATGTATTTTATACTTTAACGGATATATAACTAAAATTGCATATAGAATAACTAGATATTGTATGAAATACTAGTTAGAGTTTAATTTTAGATACTGAGCGGAGCGATGAATGTATAGATTTTACCATGATGTGATGTGTTTTTTTTTT